CTGTCAGAGATCCATCATTGTCTGCCTTCCCAATCATCGTATTCATCTCTCCCAGATTAATTTTTCTAAGACATAGCTGTCACCAGTTTCTTATTATCCACTGAATTAAGTCTAAACTCTTTAGCCCAAGATTAAAACTGTTCATGATATAACCTTGCCCTACTTCTATAATGTTATTGGTTAGTGGTCTGCCATACAAGTGTTGGGGAGTCACAAAAAGGGGCTAAAAATTTTAAGGTAGACAACATAAACTATTCTTTGTTCTTCGAACATGTTGAACTTCTCCCTCTCTCTCTCTCTCTCTCTCTCTCTNCCGTCGCCAGCGACTCACGGCAGCCCAGCTCCAGGTTGAGCTGTTGTTCAGCATCTCAGCTGTGGAGGGCAGTGTCACTGGCCCTCATATGTGGGACCCGAATCGGGGCCCTCTGGCATCCCAAGCCAGCTCTTAACCATCGCGCCAGTTGGCCAGCCCTCTTTAACCTTCTTGATTCCATCTGTTTTATAGTCTTACATTATTATGCACCAAGCATCCTCTTAGAAGTACTTATCCCAGTTTTAGTTTTACATGAATTTCTGTGATTATTTGATTAAGATCTGTCTCTCCCACTAGATTATAAGCTCCCTGAAGGGCCAGGAACAAGTTTTTACTTACTATTGTATCTCTGAGCAAGAAATACCTATTGAACAAATGAAAGAATAAATAAGGTCGGTTCTCCAAATAATTTCTAATTCATTGCTACGTCTAACTGCAACTACATTGAGAGGGTACAGTTCTTCTTCTGAAATATTCTTTCTCCTATAACTGCCTGGAGAACTCTTACTCATATTTTAAGGCTCAGCTCAAGTTCCAAGCTTTTCCTAAACTCCCCATCCTTCCCATAGAACTGGTCTCTCTCCTGCTTGTACCTTACAGTAATCCATGCATACTCCTAATTTAGGATAGATAACTGACAAACTGTACTTACTTTTTTGTAGCTGCTTGCTCTCTTTTGAAAGTTTTTTTTTTTTTAAAGATTTCATTGGGGAATTGGGGGAGGGGAACTGTGTTGGGCAATTGGGGAAGGGGACTGACCAAGTTGTTGTTCTTCAGTCTTCGTTGTGTAGGGCGCCAGTCACCATCTGGCTGCCCATTGGCAGCTCATGTCCTCTAAGCTCAAGGTGCTTTGTTCAATCTTAGTTGCGGGTGGGCGTAGCCACCATCCCATGCAGTAGTTGAAACAGCAGCCTTGTTGTTAGGAGCACACACGCTCTAGGGCCGGGCCGAGTGGTGCATTGGTTAAGAGTTGGTTTGGGACGCCAGCTCTGAACAGCAAGGCCCCGGTTCCAATCCCACATAGAGGGCCAGTGACACTGTGCCCTCTACAGCTAAGATGGTGAACAATAGCTCGACCTGGACCTAGGCTGCCGTGAGTCCCCGGCGATGGTGGAGGCTGCAGTGGGGCTGGCCGGCAGCTGGCGTGTGCTTTCAAGAGCTGCTGTGAGCCACTGTGAGCTGCTGTCCAATGGCTAGTGAGCGACTTCCTCACCTAGGAAGAGCTCAATGATGATACCAACACGGGCCAGTGAAGCGACATCCTCCACAACTAGACTAAAGAACAAAAGGACAGTAACTTGTTTGTTCCCTTTCCCTGATTCCCCAATGCTGTTCCACTCCCCTAATTCCCCAATAAAATCTTTAAAAAAATAAAAATTTAAAAATGGGGGCTGGCCAAGTGGCTCAGTTGATTAAGAGCTCACTCAAGAGTGTGAGCTCTGAGCAACAGGGTCACCGGTTCAATTCCCGGCCTGAGCTGAGCTGCCACTGAGCTGCCAACAGGTGGCAGNGAACAAAAAGACAGCAACTTCTCTGTCCCCTTCCCCTGATTCCCCAGCACTGTTCCCCTCCCCCAATTCCCTAATAAAAAAATCTTAAAAAAAAAAAAGATATATACTCTTTGGCCTTGCGTTATAGTTCTAGGAAGTTATTTTTGAGGAAGTACCAATCAGAAACATGCTCAAAGATGTATATATAAAAGAATCAAAGTATTATTAATGTTAATTAAAAAACCAAAACATTTAAATAGGGAATTGGCTAAGTTAAATAATAAGTATTATTTAAATAAATAAGTCCATATTATAGACTATTTTGCAATCATAAAAAATTGTAAAAGAATATTAATTGACTAGGAACAAAGTTCATAATGTATTAGTTAAATGAAAATGTATTACAAGATCTTGAATAATATAGCATTTTATAGAAGTAAACATGTACTTAGACAAAAGGCCAGAAGGGCAAATGTTAACATGAAGTGGTTAATTTTCAGTGGTGAGATTAGAGGACATTTTTTTCCTCTAAACTGATTTGTAATATATGTTGGGCATATATTACTTTTTCAATTAGAAGGAAAAAGATTTAAAAGAAAAAAGTTAATGTGGATAGAGACCAAGAAAAAACTTAGGTCAAGGCAACTAACTCATACCACCCCATTGCTTTACTGTTTCATGCTTCAACAGATAGGAATGATGAGTGCTCTGCATGATCTATGTACAGTTGCATCAGTGTATAAAAAAGGTGGTTAACTGAGTGAATAAGAATCAATTATTTTTTCAATTGGATTTTTAAATGTGATTTTTCTCAAAAAATGGAATGGATATTTGTGTTATATATTAATTGTATTTGATTTTCTTCTCAATATTTTTAATACTGAGTCTGTACTTAAAATTGAAAGAAAAAAATTGCTACCACCTCTGTGTCCAGCAATGGGTTGTATATCTTCACAGTGTACTGCTCATGTATAGAAACAATCAGACCTTTGAACTTATTGAGAGATTATGTGAAACTGGAAAGGAAGGAAATGATTTTCCTTTGTTATCTAAATTGAGGGTGAAAAGGAGATGAATTGTATTGCTCAGTATCTTGGGGTGCATTACAATGACTCAACATATGAATGTCTGAGCAGGATTGTTTTATTACTTTAACCTCCTCTCCNACGTGCTCTGAACAATAAGATTGCTGGTTTGACTCCCACATGGGATGGTGGGCTGCACCCCCCACAACTAGATTGAAAACGGTAAGTGGGCTTGGAGCTGAGCTGCGCCCTCCACAACTAAGAATGAAGGACAACAACTTAATTTGGAGCTGATAGGTCCTGGAAAAAAACACATTGTTCCCCAGTAAAGTTAAAAATAAAATAAAAAAATAAAAAGCACATAGAAATGTATTTAAAAAATATTAAAAATGGAGCTACCGTATGACCCAGCAATCCTACTTCTGGGTATTTATCTAAATAAATCCAAAACACTAATTTGAAAAGATATATACATTCCTATGTTCGTTGCAGCATTATTTACAATAGGCAAGAAATGGAAACAACCTAGATGTCCATTAATAGATGATTGGATAAAGAAGGTGTGGTACATATATCCAATGGAATATTACTTGGCCATAAAAAATGAAATCTTACCATTTATGACAACATGGATGGACTTAGAGGGTATTTTGCTAAGTGAAATAAGTCAGACAGAGAAAGACAACCATATGATTTCACTTATATGTGGAATTTAAAGAATAATATAAATGAACATCTCATAGATCCAGAGGACAAACTGATGGTTGCCAGATGGAAGGGGGGTTGGGGCTCGGTGAAAAAAGGGAAGGGATTGAGAAGTACAAATTGGTAGTTACAAAATAGTCATGGGATGTAAAGTACAGCATGGGGGATGTAGTCAATAGTATTCTAACAGCTATGTAAGGTGTCAGGTGGGTGGTAGACTTATCAGGGGGATCACTTTGTAAGTTATATAAATGTCTAACCACTGTACTGTAAACCTGAAACTAATGTAATATTGAATGTCAATTGTAATTGAAAATTTTTAAAAATTAAATAAATAAANAGTTGCGCGTGGGCGTAGCTCACCATCCCATGTGGAAGTCTAACCGGCAGCTTGTTGTTGAAGAACACAAGCTCTATCTACTGAGCCATCTGGGTGGCAGCTCAGCTCAAGGTGCTGAGTTCAACCTTAGTTGCAGGTGGGCGTAGCCCACCATCGAGCAGGCAATCTTGTTAACACCAGCTGAGCCATCCTGCCACCTGTTGGCAGCTCAGCGACAGCTCTGCTAGGGCTCAGCATTGCTGGCCCCGGTGGGAATTGAACCGGCGGCCTTGTTGCTCAGAGCTCGCGCTCTTAAGCCAACTCTTAACCAACTGAGCCACTCGGCTGGCCCCTTAGTACTTATAATTTTAATTTCTGGGAGCGATGAAAAGGTTACTTGCATTCTAAAATTCAGAATGAGCCTAGTGATTTACTTTCATATTTGATCAAATTTTTGTTTGAAAAATTTGGAAGGGAATCTGAATTTAAATAGTTTAAAAATGGAAGTATGTAGTGACATGTTTATGGGAAGTCTGTACTGCAAATAGGATTAGTGATTAACATTAATAGAATGATAAATATGTCAATATATAGGATCAGAACTCCTGCCTTTGTTTATCAGTATTCCTATTTAAAGTATCCTAATAATGAAAATTTGCCCCCAAATTTAAATAGTTTTAATAGATAATTTTTTTGTTGCTTTTATTTAGCAGTATACTTATGTAAACAAACCATACATGTATTTAGGTCAGCCTGGGCACCTTCCTGTATCTTTCCAGATAAAGTTGATAATCTGCAGTGCAATATCTGGACTTTGAATATGTTCTGTTAATATTTTTTAGATTGCTATAGTTTAATATAATTTGTGATAATTAAAATGTAGTGTAATATAATTTGTAGCTGTTCTCGCTGTAATATGCTTTATATTTTTACATGCAATATGTTTATATAATTTGAACATGTGATATAGTTTAAGTAGGTTTAACTGTTATATAGAAATCACTATTCATGTAGTTCCTTAAAGAAAATATTATGAATGATAGCATAGCAATCTTTACCTGTGATTGTCATGAAAATTGTTTTTTGTCATGAAAGTTTGAATGTAGATCGTTTTCTCTGTTTTAATAGCATTTTTCTTCTAAAAATAGGAGTATTTTCTACCTTGCGTGCTGTTCCCCAAAAGGAGGGATACCTTGGATTGTATAAAGGGAATGGTGCAATGATGATTCGAATCTTTCCCTATGGTGCAATCCAGTTTATGGCTTTTGAGCATTACAGAACGGTGAACTTTAATTTTTGTTTTTGTTTTTGTGTCTTGAATATCACATTTAGTTGACAAGGCATTTGCTTTGGCCTTTAAAGTTACTTTGGATGAATGGATAAAGGTAATGTGTTTTTGAAGGAATAAGACTTGTGATGGTTTAAAATTTTAAATATAACTTGGTTGTGCTGTTATTCCAGAATTGTCAGTCATTTTTGAGTAAGTTGTTTATGTTCACACTTATGAAGAAGAGCCAAAGTATCCTTCAAGTAGATAATAATACATCCATAAAATATTAATAGCTCTTCAATGTGCTTTCTGTTTCTCACTTGTAGGAGAGGAACATTATGGCTTTGGATTATCTTTCTTTGTTTTTTTAAAGATTTTATTGGGGAATTGAGGAAGGGGAACAGCCAAGTTGTTATCCTTCAATCTTATTTTTGGAGGGTGCAGCTAGCTCAGCTCCAAGTCCAGTCACCATCCAGCCACCCGTCAGCAGCTTGCGGCTGCTCAGATCAAGGTGCCTTGTTCAATCTTAGTTGCGCGTGGGCGTAGCTCACCATCCCATGTGGNCCATCCAGCCACCCGTCAGCAGCTTGCGGCTGCTCAGATCAAGGTGCCTTGTTCAATCTTAGTTGCGCGTGGGCGTAGCTCACCATCCCATGTGGGAGTCGAACCGGCAACCTTGTTGTTAGGAGTACGTGTTCTCATCAGCTGAGCCATCCTACCACCTGTTGGCAGCTCAGTGGCAGCTCAGCTTGGGCACAGTTCACTGGCCCATGTGGGAATCAAACCAGCGACCCTGTTGCTCAGAGCTCGCGCTCATAACTGAGCCACTCAGCTGGCCCTGGATTTTCTTATTAAATAAAATAGTGAAACCATATTGTGAAAGTCTGTTTTTAAGTAATAATCTAAGTAAACAGCTTTTTCCAGCTTGCTCATTGATTAAGTTTTTTTTCTCTAGCTGACTGAAAGTTTATCCTCTCAAACATCTTAACACAGAAGGCATTAAGTATGTTAAGTTTCCTAGGGTATCTTAAAATGACAGTGTTCCATTCTAGTCAGTCAGAATTGGTGCCATCAGTATATCAAGACTTTGTCTATAGAAGCATTTTATTCCTACTACTCCCATTCACACTTTAAGTTTTTGTGGTTATCCATGTGTAGTATGGTGTAGTTGGTAATTGTAAGCTAGATTGCTTCTGTAAAAGTACAAAATTACAGCAGAAGATACAGAGGAATTATCTGACCTTATGATGTGAAATAACACTGCCCAATTCATATAATTGTGCTCATTTCACTCACATTTATTTAATGCTGATTTTACTAGGTCTGTAACTCTTTTGAAATAAGTCTTTATTATTAAACAGTGAAATGAGTAGCATTTAAAAAAATATCTCATTTAATTTGATGTTTTTGGTTTTTAGTTTATTACTACAAAGCTGGGAATTTCTGGTCATGTGCACAGATTAATGGCTGGATCCATGGCAGGTAAGAGGAGTAGGTATATTTTATTTCTGACAAATTTATTTTCTATTAAAATATTTAATTTGGTTTAGGTGATATGTATGACATTAAGTAGCATACAATTGTTATCTTTCTATACTTAATTATATAAGAAATCAATATAACAACTCAAAAAGAATATTTTACAGTGAGAGATGGTAAGGAATAGTCTAAACTTACAACTATGTGAAAAACATACATTCCTTTTGACAATTCTACTTCTGGAAATGTTTATTTTTTTCCCCCCAAATTTAAAAAATTATGACTATTGTAATATATAATCGCGTACAATGAAAATAGTTCCACTCCCTAGAAGTAATCACTATTAGCAATTTGTTATGCATTCTTTTTTCTAATACTACTGTATAGGATTAGAATTTTTTATTTACAATTATCTCAAGACTCTTTCTATATCAGTACATAGATTTTTGTTATTTCTTCTAAAGAACTATGTTATATTCTAAGGTATGAATGTATCATGATTTATTTAATTAGTCCCCTATTGATTGATATTTGGGATATTTTTAGGTTTTGTTTGACAAATAACACATTGTATTTATGTGACTATATCTGTAGAATGAATTTTGAGAAGGGAACTTTATCTGTCAAAGACTATGTGTGTTTAAATTTTGATAGACATTGCCGAACTGATCTCCATGCTGCTTTCAATGGCCTTTCCCTCACATACCATACTAACACTCGGTCTTATCAAATTTTTACTATTTGGCAATTAATTATGAGTAAAGTTGATCAGCCTTTTGTACTTTTTTT